TGCTTACTTCCTTCCATTCGTATGACAGCTGCGTATGAATTAATTTACTTTCTGGTGCTTTCACTTCCAGAGACAGTTGTAAGCACTGTGTAACTGCCTCGAGGGTGCTTGACTATTTTAACACAACGTGGTGCGATCATCCCCCTTGCGCGGAGCGAGGGTTCTCCACCCCGCACAACATGATCTACTCGACCACCATGATGGTTACCGCCAAACAAAAAACAGAGGTAAAAAAATGACGGCAACCTGGTTGCCGAGTTCACGAAGTGAGTTGGCTTGTTTTACAACGTCGTTGCCAATCGACGGAAACCCAACCCCGATGGCAAACACCGAGGGGGGGTGCTTGTTTTACAACGTCTTTGCCAAGCGACGAAAACCCAACCCCGATGGCAAACACCGAGGGGGGGTGCTTGTTTTACAACGTCTTTGCCAAGCGACGAAAACCCAACCCCGATGGCAAACACCGGGGGCGGGGTGCGATTTTTTTTTTTTTTGCGCGTGTAGTCGTCAAGCTCTTCGTTGTAACCGCCCCTTGCATCCCTCGGCCTCGACTGTGTGGAACGCCTTCCGCCGACTGCGGCATGCGTGTACCCGAGCACAATGCGCACTACATCCCGCACTTGAACGGCGTGTTCGCTTGTGTTTCTTAGCACCCTTCATGTCGTTCCCAGCCCGATCTACGAAAAACCGACATTTCACTCCCGTCACCCCAGCGTGGTTGTATGGGTGCGAGGTCTAAGGTCGTGCACCGACTACGGTATGCGGTTACGTGAGTACATCCCGCACTTGCCAGCACTGAAAGGCAGTTGTGGTCCCGGTACAATGCTGGTAGCCCGGCAGATTTGCTGGTGAAATAGTATGGTAGCGGTGGAATGTGCAAGTTGTTCATACTCTGAATAACGCCGGTTGCCCGATATATTGACGGTGAAATAAGTCTGGCACAGGTGAAGTATTCAAGCTGTTACATACTCTGAACAATGCCGGTTGCCCGTTCTAATGCCGGTGAAATCGTCTGTTCGTAGATGGAATATTGGAGTTGTTTCATTCTCTGAATGATGACGGTCGCCCGGTAGAACGCCGGTGGATTAGTGTGGTGCCGGTGGAATGTTGAAGTTGTTTCACTTTCTGAAAAATGCCGGTGGCCCTTCTTTTTTGCAGTGAAATCAGCTGGATCGTAACGGCGCCTATGCCGGGGACCACTACTGAACCCCCCCCCCCAACCTTCCTGCCCTCGTCCTCGTCTGTGTGGAACGCCTCCCTCGGCCCTCCGCCTCCCGCCCCTCCCCACCCCCC